TATATATGAGTGTGTGTACACGCACGTGTGTCACACGCGCGTCTATTTCAATTATCATGTTTGTAAACGTATAACGTACTTAGCCATGCAGTAACGAGCCTATATATATACTAGCACGGGCACTTTTAAAGATAGGACAAGCTACTTTTGTTGAGCGTTGGAGAAGTTACCTTTGTTGAGCGATGTCCGAGGTTTCAGGCGATAAAAATGTCTCGTGCACTGTATCTGAAGTCATCGTTGTTGGTTATTTATTTCGGTCGTCATTAGGTATTTACTTTCTAAGGTTTTGGTTTCCCGTAGGGTTTGCAATAAAATATAATATTCCTGATATGTACATATCTATTTCTTATTTATATAAAAATTAGTCCTCCGTTGTTAATTTAGGAGGGTCTAATTGAAGGCTATGTAGGCAGAATCTGTATTCATATCCACTATTCCACTTGTCCACTGCATCGCATTCTATTCATATACACACATCCTGTTTACCTTACATTAGATACTGAGCTGTGTGTCAACTATCACCCTCCGCTAATATGTGTGAGGTGAAGACGCAGATATTGCATTAGTTCCGTGTGCGCTTTCGAGTCTCGGGTTCAGCTAGGCACAGAGTACACAATACAAACGCAGTCTTCTACCGTACAATGACCACAGTCACATGCCATATATAAAGGTACACGGCTGTATGTAGTTCACTTTGTCGATCTAACATATGATCGGCGATATTAGGTATCGACCTCCACTTACACTTATACACCACACAAGAAGCTTGTAGCCGTATGTGACAGTTCATACGCATTCCACGCACTTGTGTAATCGCACGCTCCCTACTGCATCATGCTTACCCGATGGTGGCTGGTGGGTAGTCTGGCGTCTCTGCTGGTAGCGTTCACATTCAATGCCATTGTTGCGATACTTAATCAAGATCCCATGTTCAGCAAACAGGCTAGGAGAGAGGGCACGGCAAGCACACTGATGATGTATGTCTATCTATTAGATTTAGACTGAAACTTGTTTGATGGTGAAGGTATAGCAAAAGCACTTGATTTAATGATGGATGTAGAACAACAAAAGATTGGAAATATGTATGAATGTCTATATGACCTTCCGTATACACTAGTTTTGTCATCATGCACAGAGCTGGATCTCTAATGTACACGAACGTGTTTCCTGATATTTGAAGAAACTTCGTATAGGGATAGTCTTCTTCATCTCAAAAAGGCAGTAGCATACTTTGTTATTAATTAATCGTATAGTACACGAAAGTATCATCGTACATGGCTTTTGAATAATCATCGTATTGAACATTAAGAAACAACAACGGCATGTGTAATAGCACACACGGCACGCAGCAGACACTCATCGAGTTCTATGGCTGGTATAGCGTAAGTCATAGATATAGAATCAGGCTGATACCACTCAGAGATCCATGTGTGCGTGTGCTATGTGCATGCGGTACGATTCGAGTGCATAGATACAGATGGCTCGGCACACTTCACATCAAATTCTCAATTTAATATATGCTCTACCCACCATAGCTGACAATAAGGTGTGATCGACATGTAAGGTGTGATATATTGAGCTTTCAGCAACGCTAAGATCGCTGCAGGTGGCACTAGTGCACTTTCCTGGCACATGAGCGAATGCACGCTGAGATGTCTGTGTAAATACGCAGGCAGCTACACAGTAGTCACTAGCCTAAAACTAAATGCGAAATAAATGTAGTTTGTGCCTTGTGCACGGATGTGCACACTCTCGTGTGGAGTAAGGCACACTTTAGTGTGGAATAAGACATCTGAGTAGCTTGTGAACAGATGTCCAGAACCGTGTAGTATGGATCGTTTGTGTATCGCGTCTCAGGTACGCTATGTACGCACTATTTAATAGTGTGCTGTGTGGATAGACAATCAGGTATGTTATGTAGCCTCTATTTAATAGTGTCGTTGTGAGAATAGGCCAGCCATACACACTCTCCAGTAGGATTTGCATCCGTTGCGCATGGTGTGCATGGCTATCCCTTGCCATTCTCATGCCACTAATGTGAAGTGTCCTCTATCAACATGGCACTGATACGAGAAGACTCTGCTGTTCCAGCCAGTACCTTCCATTAGAGATGCGTCACAAGACCGACATGTGGCATGCTTTGCATTTCAGGTACATACATTCGCATACGCATTTACCCTCCCCCCTGGATGCCTTGCCAATTCTTGCACACACACGCCACTCTTACGCACACGCCACTCTTGCGCACACGTGTCTATCTGCTGTGTAGATACGCCAGCAGTGCGCTGCAGCCATTGAATTGGTGGGCAGGACCTACAGCCGTGTCACCGCTCAGAAGAGACCCATTGCTGGCCACACGCCCCACCTGCAGGAAGGTGAGTCTAGTAACTAAACTGTGATCTATGATTCCCGAGCTAGTTGCTTGAATTGTAGTCTGCGATGTGTGAAGTAGTAGGTTGACCTGTGACCTGTGAAGTAGTTTGTTGGCCTGTGACATGTGAAGTAGTTCGTTGGCCTGTGACCTGTGGAGTATTTGTTTGACTTATTCTCTGTGTACTAGTTCGTATTCTGTAGTCTGCGACATATCTCGGCCTGTGATTTGACTGATGGTTCATGCCGTGCAGTTGTCGGTTGTCGCATTTTAGCGAAACCTGAGACACTCTTTGATCTCAGTTGTGGGCTCTCTGGTGCATTGTTACTGCGTTGCCAAATCAGAGTATAAAATATCTATCTATCTAGGGCATATCCGTCATATACATCATCTGGGGCTAGCTCTAAGTTTAATAGTACAGGAGAAGGTATGTTATGACACAGGCTCACGAGTGACCTGCCAGAGGTATGGTCATATATAAGAGCACAGCTTAGAACAGCGTCTGGTTAGAAGTTTGTTGGTACATAAGTTCCGTAGATTATATGAGTGTATATACCGAGTGAGCTAGTGAGTAGCATCTTATACTGCTAACATGTTTAATATTGTTTGAGAATTGAAAGCTGTTCGTGGGTCTGCGTATGCAACACTGAGTTCGTTGCTGCCTGAGCGCCATAGCACGTCATAGAGAAGGCTCATAGAAGAACACGGAAACATACATAAAGCTTTATACCTACATGCGTTTGGTGCGGGATGGTGGTAGTAGTGGCTGAGGGGTTTTCCTGTACATATCGACACACACTATCTCCTTGGCCACTCCTCACTTAGAGACTAGAGCCTGGCGACAGAGTGGAGTCAGCCATGCACACATTCCAACTGGTGGAGATGATCCGTGATGCGGGTATGACTTGCACACAATCGAGTCGTGTGCGCGCGGTACACTATTTGTCTGTGTAGACTGACGAGTTGGTCCGTATTCGCACAGTTAAACACATATGCGATAGGCATCATCTTAGCCTTGTGTATTGACATATGCATGTATTAAGTTTGGTTCATGACCCGTATCTGCATATAGTCAATACGTTATCACAAGTCTTCCTCTTTAAGATTCTGAGCTATGTGGTGTGGTTTTGCAGGTTTGGCATTGGGTGTGTATCATACGCATTGAACGCGGCATCGCGAGACATGTGTATCTTCTGATACGCTACTGTGTACTATTGTAATAAGTAAACGCGAGTGAACCTGTGAACCTGTCTATTCAGCGAATGTGTGCGCTCTGTGTCTGTGGTATATCACATGAAGACACCTTTCGCCGAGATCATTACCAACAGATGAGCGAGTGTCAGTCGACATGCCGGTATTCTATAGTGCCCAACCATACACTTAAACTCTAAACCCTAAAACCCAAACATACAATATACGCAATTCTCTAAGAATAACCTGGACCGGCTGTATGCCTCGAACCCAGGTGCTCTAACCAGCAAATCTCCCATACTCTCCCCACAGCCGTTGTCGTGCCAAACAGTGACGAAAACGCTTCCAGTGGCGTGGGTCGTAGTAGTGCCAGTGACACTAGAACACATGGGAGACCTCAGCGTGGCATGAGTCTTTCGTATCCGTCGGTGGACTTGGCTGTGTATGACTACATAGGTCAGGCCAGCGACACAGGTCAATTCCAAGGTGTGTGTCACGCCAGGCGTCCGCTTGCAGAGGATTAGTATGTGAACACGAGTTAATTGAGTCTGTTTTGTGAGGGCAACAAAGGTAGAAAGATAATGCTGGTATACACGTTTGCATGTCCTGGCAGGAGGCTCTCTTAATGCGACTATTTTGTTACATAGCACGTGTTTGTGTGTCTGGTTTTTTGTTGTGTGGCTGTGTGGGCTGAGGTGTGTATTATATATGTAGTTAACATCAATTGGTAGCAAAGATTTATACTCTTGTGTTTAATATCCATCTGTCGCCCGGTTGTCTGCCCAATTATTGCCGTGTTTGCTTGTAAAATCGATTAGCGTTTTCGTCGTCTCACCTCACTGCCTATGCATGGTGTAAAGGATGTGTATGTGATGGGTGTTCCTATACATGTCGGACACTTCAGCAACCGTTCATGAATCTCATTTGTAACTACAATTCAACAGGCAGAAGGACTAACCATACACTCAACGAACAATAAAGCTATATATATTTGTACAATGATCGCTACCGGAATACCATCATACACAACTCCTGAATACGCACAAAAGTCGTGATGTCGAGGTGTGCTACTGAAGCCCACAACGCCTGGGTTAAGCTAATCATCCGGTCTTTGTCACGTCTCACAGATAGTATACTGCTAGGCGAGTTATGGCCTGCAATGTACGATGCTGACGGGCTTCGCGACCGCGTCTTTGACATGAGTCTTGATTGGGACACAACGAGTACTGTACTAGCTACTGTAGTAGGTACACATAATTACTTACGGTTGGGCCAGGATGAGGCAATTGCGATGTCTGTAGAGGAGGATCGATGGTTGAGGCTGGAAGCTTTGGAGGTGAGCTATGTACACATATATTTTTAATAGAT